GTCACGATTTTAATTTTGTTCTCATTTGATCATTGAGTGATGTCATAATTTTAATTTTGTTCTCATTTGCTCATTGAGGGATGTCCCATTTTTTTATTTTGTTATTGTTAATGTGACTTTAGAATATATCTAGTGTAATATAGTACTGGTTAAAGTCATGAAGATATCAAATAGTGCTTAAATTATCAGGAAATGACGTTGAGTCTCATATAAATACCGAATTTAAACAAAGAATTCTTATTTCATTCGTGCTTTTTCCATTCATTTAAATGATATTTTACATTGGAAAGATAACTTAAAGTCATTTATGTTATGATAAAAAGAGACAAATATAACAATTTAGATGTTTATGCAGGAACTTAGTTCAGCGATCTTTTAACGACATGCATTCTTTAAAAATAAAATCTATAGGATAATTTCATCATATAAATTATAAAATTACTTGTCATAAAAGTATAGAAATAATTAAAATGCATACAATTTTGATGGTTATAATATTGATTACAGAAAATTATGTTTATATTACGCACTGGTTCTGTATTAAGATGAGATAGAGGAAAAATGTTTAGAAAGAATCGGTATTGGAACGTATACAAAATAGATAAAAACAAACCCATTATGTTCATAAACTGTTTTATTTGATAAACTTCGTAAAGAAATTAATAGATATACCTCAGTTTTAATAATCGTTTACATCTTCTCACCTTAACACAAATCTGTACAAATTTATACAAAATACACTCTAAAATATTTTATGAAATACTAGAGTATTCAGGTTTCATTACTTTATTGCGTACAGTGAATAGTTTTGGACAAAGCATGGATTACGAACGCTTTGTTATCGCTCGGAGAGTCGGGTATCTTTATACAATGTTCATATCTATTAGATATTTATGCACTAGATGATAAAGAATACATAAAATGAATAACTAAAAATGATACAATTCTTCACCAGGATGAATTCGTTATGTAAATCATTTTTGTGAAGGTATCTAATATAAACATTTATATGATATACCAAACAAATTGATAATACAGTGAAAATTAAGTAAAGCAAATTATGTAATGTCTTAAATGTAAAAACGGTAAAAACAACTCCTTTGTTTAGATTCAGTTCAACCTCTGCAGAGCAGTGTTTTAAATTCGTTTGTGTTCCCATTATTTTCGAAGTGTAACATTCAAAAATTAAAATTTGAATTATTACTTTTAAAGTAAAACCTCAAATGTAATTTCAAACGTCTCGTCGCATAATTCTATGTTGTTACAAGAAATAAATTATTATAGTCAAAATGTATGCAAAACAATTGCAAGAAAAAGCATCAGTTATTATAGTGCATCTATAATGTATCATTAGTGTAAAATAATTTTAATTCATTCGGATTTGTTTCAAAATCAAATTTTACTGACAGTAAATAAAGAGCATTTTCTGTCAGTCAACTTGTAACAAAATTTGCAGTAACTTTAACTTCATTAACTGTGTTCCCTTGAAGAAATTGATCAATTAGTTTGAGATATATGGCGAGACATTTTATCAATTTTAACCCCCTCTTAATAACATTTTAACTTGTAAAGTTATTAGCACTGTTGGATTTGGACTAAAATTTATGCTTATGTAAATGAGACATTATGCTACTTTTTCATTGTAAAGCTAAGCTGATTTTACTATTTATTTCAAAAAGACTGACTGTTGTAATGGTGATTGGCCAACTGTTGATACTCGAAAATATTTAGGGTAAAATTGAAAAAAAAAATCTGCCTAAATTATAAAAAGACGGTCGCTCTCTTTTTTATTAATTGAACTTTACAGGTAAGTTCTGACCAATATTTTCAGAAATTCCACTGGGCTGTGCCAGTAATTCATCTTTCATGCCAAAGAAGTTATACGTTCGATGTAAACTTATTTTCATTTTCACCTGTTCACTCACTATATGGTTATAGCCCTCATCCAATGTTTGATTATGTGTGTTGTTTTTGGTTTCCCGGGGTTACTTAATACTGGAAGGATAAACGCCAAGTCACATAAAACTAGTTAATAAAGTTTGTTCCTTAATCTTGGTCATAAGTCACATATTGGTTATAAACAAGTTTTATTTTGTCTGCCAATCTAACAAAAGTTTATCAAATTACAATCTGGATGTGTTTTTTTTAAATAAAACATGGCCTTCCCCCTAACTATATGGGAGATAACTTTATTACCAATATAGAAACGATATTATTGAATGCTACAGTAAATACCATTTTGTCTTTCATTAACAAAAGCAGGTTTTGATAACAACTAAACTATCAAATTCTACTTTCCTGACTTACTGGTAATAAAAAATTATAAAAAAATCCCTTCATGTATTTTTGTCGACACCAAGAGGGTGTACCTGCGTAGAACCATCTATCTGTTGTAGCTTCCTAGATAGTTTCCTAACGTGAAAGTACCCAACTTTCCTGGTAGGATTCGAACCAACAGCCGAGAGCGGCAAGTAATTCAGGGTCGGTCACCAACTACATATGGCACAACCATAACTAAAAGTAGCTATTTCGTCAAATGTCACTGCGAACATTTTTCTCTCACCTAAAAAAGTACGCAATATTTACTATTGAAGAATCCATTATGGAATCAAATTTCCGTGACGTATATCCACAATTCTGGTGCGTTTTATCACATTTGACCCTAAAATACTTGAAATTACTGGCGAAATCCTCTTTGGAAATTTACAATCCATTATCGTTCTTGCATTAATTTACAACAAGTGGATGCATTGCTGAATCAAATTTACTTGAAGTAAAGGATGTTTTCATTTTTATGATGTTTTCACATCTTTAATCTTTACAATACTCTTAATTACGGGTAAATTTTACTTTTGGAAACTCTAATCTTCAGTTTTTGTGTACTTCATTACCAGTAATGGTTTCTTACAAGTCATTTATAAGGAAACAAAGGAGATAATAAATAAGTTTACAACTACCGAAGTAGATTTGCTATAACACTTCATAAGTGACAATGGAATTATAACTGTCTAAATACAAATTCAAAGCTTATTAAAAAACAGGTAATAATAAAACCAACACTATACTTTTCTAAATTTAAAACTTTAACACGAGAAGAATTAGCTTTGTTTGTGCTTTTTTATTTCTTGAAAACATGTTATGGAGATGTTTTGATAATAAACAATACTTTTCTTTGAGTTCATAAAAACTCATCTGTTGCAGTTAATTTTATTTCTATCTTTAATTCTATTTGCAAATATTGGTAACGTACGATGTCTGATATCGGCATGCAACCAATTCAAGATACTAAATTCTTTCATGTGAGGAAGCTATCCAAGCTAGCTTACAGAACGTTGGTGGTTCTACATTATTGCCCGTTCATGCCTGAAGTATTACACAGAAGGGCATCTAAGGTCTTTCTACACCAGTAAGGCTGGAAAGGCGCCATATGACCTATACCGTGCTGGTACGACGTAAAACACTAGCATTAAATAACAAGCAAAAAAAAGATAATATTAATTCCATATGTACATATGGTACATATATATTATGTATTTTCATCTGAACTGAACATTATCATAGTCTAAGAGACCATGTTGACTACATTTTAAGCGTAACTAACCATCATAACAAATTTAAAACAAAATTTTATAAGTTATCATTGAAAACCAAAGCAAATTCTGAAAATTGCTTAGTTTAGTATTGTTGGTTTTATTATTACCTGTTTTTTAATAAGCTTTGAATTTGTATTTAGACAGTTATAATTCCATTGTCACGACCACATGGACACATATCTTGATTATTCTTAATATTAACTCAAGCACAATTTTCATGTAAAAATGTCTAGCCGGTGCTACAGTGTGTCCATGATATTTCAGTTTGACCTAATTTGCGGAAAATTTGTTTGATGATTAAAAAGCAGTTTTAAATGATACATATACGGCAATTTTGTCCAGTCCCGAAATTAAATTTGATTTAATTTGTTTTTTGTTTTGTTTTTCCATGTACCAGCACATTTTAGGTTTAGGTTTGCCTACACACGGTGGTGAACCCCATATGGATCTCAAAATTGAGCATCGGTAAAAAACATATGTGAATGTGCACTATAACGCCATAAGTGAAAGAGAAAATTAGTCAATCAAAAGGTAAGTTTTCATTTTTTTAAACACTTGCGTAAAATTCAAAGCTTTTTTAACTAAATTTGTCTTTCACATTTGGTGTTAAAGTTCACATCTGGATCAGTGGAAATTCACATAAATATATTTTTTGCCGCATCTATATGGGGTTCCACATCCGTGTAACAAATAAAATATAAAATATTCTTATTTTAGGAACATTTGTGTGGCATCGTTTCAGTACATTCGTGTATTACAAATATTCTTGGAGAAACTTGTTTACCCCTTTTCTGTAATAACCGTATAGATGTTATGTTTATGCCGATCCTACTTATAAATCTCATAAATCATTCCATTGAATGTAACTTAATATCTTCAAGTCACCTCGTATTTTATTATCCTGAAAATTATCAAGAAAACTGTCAAGTATTAACCGGTTTAATAGGTATGGCTTGTAAATGATATCAAAGTAAACAACAAATACACAAATGGTAAGAATATTATATAGTAAATAGTTTTGTATTTATACAACATATTGCTACTTTCACATCTTTTTCAAGAAATTATTCAGTGTTTAATCACAAGCACTTTCAATTGTAATCTTTCAACGCGGAATGGGTATCAGCTACGTTACAAATTTGACACATTTATTAAAATAGGAAGAAAATCTGTATCACGATTTAATTGATTCAATATCAATTAAGAAACGTTAGATTGTAGATTTATAATTCAAAAACATTCAATGTGGCCCTGCCATACTTGGAAAGAGCAAAACGTATTTTGTGATGAACTCAATGTTCTTTGTATACATAATCAATCAGATATTCAGCGCGACATATATATATATATATATATATATATATATATATATATATATATATATATATATATATACATATATATATATATATATATATATACATTTGTATTTTGTTTCTATACATCACAGAAGATAAAAAGCTAACAATATATATCCATTCCATAATAACAAAGAAACAGCCAGTTACAGCCAAAAAATGAAAATTTCAACAATTTGACCGTCAAAGTAAGGGTCATTTATGAGTGAAGGTCAAGGTCTGTATGGTTAACTCTAAGGGCTATCCTAAAAGATTATTATGTTCAAATTTGAAGACAATCCAATTTATAAAAATAACAATGATATAGCTAATTATAGCAAGAAACAAGCAAAATTTTGACATTTGACATTGAAGTTCGAGGTCATTGGTGGATGATGGTCACCGTTAGTCTGGTCTTCTAAAAGGTTTTGTCCCAAGGGTTGTTGTGGCCAAGTATGAAGACAATACACCAAGAACTTAAAAAGTTATGATCAAGGTACAAGTTTGCAGATGGCAACAATGCCAACATGACTGTAACAATATCTCTACTTTTCTAAAAAAAAAGTCAAGCTAAAAATGGGGGTCATTCTTAAGGGGGAAATTTATATAAACATCTGGAGGCATGTTGTGATAAATTGTGTATTGAATTTGAACCACGTCGCGCATCTATAGATAACAAATGCGCGACTGCGCTCTGTACAATTGTAACTGCATCAGGAAAATAGGTGTTTTCGTAAACAACATTTATATTTGGAGTTTAAACTATATAAAGATGTCACTTTTTCGTGAAATTTAGAATATATTTGCTCTTGAATATATTTTGCTCTTAACATGATAAAATTCTATATATTTCACTCGCCTTTCAGGCTTGAGAAAATATAATATTATGGAATTTCATCATGTTTCCTGAAAATAAATATAATATTTCACTCAAACGCAAAAATTGCCTCTTATTATTTACATTCTATACAAATATTAACAGAAATTTATATAATAAGCATATTAATATAAACGTATTCCAATAAAAACATCCATTCAGATCTTTAAAGCTGCATGCCTCCAGATGAGCCAAAATATTTTGATAAAATCAAGCTTGAGAAAAATGTAAGTAAAACCATTTAAGATTCAATTTACACGTTTTATATGATTAATGACTAATTTAAATACAGAATACATTACCATACTTTTGCTTCGTTGCTAACTTAGGGAGGAAAATTGCAGCATATTTACACTTCTTTTTAGTGAATTACTTGAATTAATTGAAATTGTAAGCATCGTTTGCAATGTGTCAACTTCTTTCTTTGTTCACTTCACAATCTTTTACTTTTTAATACATTTTCAAGATTGTTCAAAGAATCCGGAGGCATGCATGCTGTTTGAAAAGCATGCTCGGATGATTCGTATCATATATATCCATTATAAATGTATTGTACAGTTGAGAAAAAATGTGCAATTTGATATTACGAATGCTATTGTTCAGAAGTGCACTCTGTATTAAAATACTCAAGCCTTCTAAATTGTTATCACAATGATTATTTACAAATAAGAATAAATCATACACTAGCTAAAAATAAATCAATGGTAACACAAATATACAGTTGAATTAAATAATACTTCACACTTGAAACTTCTCTTTTCATGGAATAATCATGACATTTATAAATACTATATACACCTCTCTGTCAATTTATGAATTCTTTTATTTTTCTGTTATGAAGGAATTTTGCTCCATTGTAAATTCATTATAAGATTCTTCACAGGTAATATGGCCATATATAAACAGTTGTAAGCAATATAATCCTCACCTAACAGATTGGATTATATATGCAAACAGTCGTAACAAATTCAGAATCGTTATAACTAAGAATATACGCTGCAAATTATCATTTAATGTTTCAAAGCAAAGAGAGCAGTAGAACACTATCAAAATTTGGTTAAAAATACTTATGAACTGTTATATATGGCCGTGCATGAAATGTTGTTCGTTATATAACCAACACCTTGTGACTTTGGTTACATACTTAATGCTCGTAATAGTGGGCAATGTAATCTGTCAGAATAAGAATGAATTATAATGTATCTTCATATACATAATTTCCGTGTATCGCCAAAATAAAAAAAAATGTTACGTTAACGTTTGTTCAGAAAACTGAATTATTAAAAATAAGAGCAGAACTGTTAGAAAATATGTAAATATCACACACATTTCAAAAACTATTTACAAAACTATACATTTGTAATACATATATATTTCTAGAATAATTAGCTTAAATTATATATTGTTTTTTATTTCATGCTTTCCAGAGTTTTACTGTAATATATATCAGATAATTATATTCTGATAAACCACTAGTGAAATTTATAAAATATAATTTTTCCACCAGACTATATCTGAATGAAGATGAAAAGATTTTCATTAATGAATGGAATAACAGGCAGAAATAAATGCTGTCAAACGTAAATTTTGCTTCTTTAGGAAAAGGAAGTCGATGCAATTATACATCATTTTAAAAATGTAACAAAATTAGAAAAATTTAGCAAAACTATTTTTAATAATTGAGGATGTGACGTCATGATATGATGATGTCATAAAGGATAATGCGCGACATTATGTGGCAAAATCAGTAATAAATACTTAAAATCACATAAAAAGCATGAAATTAAAAGACAATTTATTGTTTTACATCTAAGATTGAAATATAATTCATTCGTGAAGGTACACCAGCTATTATATTTTCACTCGTGGCTACGCCACTCGTGAAAATATTACAGCCGGTGTTCACTCAATGAAATGTATTTCAATCTTACATGCAAAACAAACAAATATCATCTGAGTTAATATTTAAAACATAATTGCAATTATTAAATAGGTTAGTGTTTATTAAGTCAGCAAACCATTTAATTAGTTGCACAAATGTGTCGTGCTAGAAAAATGTTACGAGTTTCCTTATGCTCAGAACATCAACAGTCTAACCGATACTAAATTTGTCAATACTAAATCTGTCACTTGGCTGTGCCAGGCCAGAGCGACGAAATTCCCTTAAGGCACATTATGCCTCAGAAAATAAATATTCTCTAGCAAATTCAAGCCTTTTCTAACAAAAATGATTTTATAATGGTTTAAGGGCATGTTTAGATGTTTAACAAGTGAAACTAGCACATAACCTGCCGTAATGTGTTATTAAAGTCGTAAATAACAAAGTAGTATTTTGACTTCCATACTAATATTAATTAACTTTTATTATAGCATGTGCCCACATAACGAAATCAGCATTGGAGAAATTATGTATAATTGACAAATTAAGGGTCTATTTCTGGAAACTGTAACACGATAACTAAAATAAAATGTATTGAAAAAAATGAAATAAAACTGATAGAATTTCTAAAGCGTAATAGGCCTTCAATAAAAAAATATTTATTAATTCTCTATATATAAAATCTGTCATAAATTGCAGAAACAGATTTATACATGTACTGTATATCTTATTAAATCAAATTATTTCATTGATCTTTTAAACAGTATTCAAAGGAATACTGAAATATTTGACAGTGGTGTTGGTGTAATTGTCCTTTGAGATTCAAATTCTAATTGTACAAAACAGTTACCAGATATCTTTTTGATGCAAACATTTTCTTTAATGTTTCCATTAAGCCAGGAACCAGAATATTATTCAATGCATTGGTAAGTAATGATGGTTGGGGGATTTTTCTGCTGCTGTTAATCACAAATTTAATCCAAGTCTGTCCCCTTACAGCCAGGTATCAGGTGTGAAATCATAATATCGAACAATTGAAGAACTTGAACAACTTTCTTTGTCATTCAGAACATCCCACTGATAATCATCTGGAGATTGATGGACAAAAAGCCAAACAGTTGTGATTGTTCTCATTGTCCCTGTAGGTTTATTACAGCTGATATTCTGAAATAAAGGAAAGCAAGAAGTCATAATTATAAGATCATGTAGTAGGAATTTCCTATTTTAACTGTATATTAAAATTTTATGTGTTTTGAATAAACTGACCTTTTCCTGTCAATTTCCAAGCTTACAAATCCCAAATGACTTTAATAGACTTGTCAATCATTCAGTCTGGACGGAACCATTCACCATATTAGGGAAAACTTAAAATATTCATGTATATGCAAGCTTATCGTGGTCTTCATTGGTCACATGGGTATAGAATATGTTATCGCCAGGAGGCTTAGAGTTAAGGAACCGAACCAGATAGTATTCAAGTAGATTCACTGACCTCTTGTATAGCAAATAAAAAGAAATGTTATTGTAATCTAAGTAAAAACTGTAAACACATCACATATAATTTGTGATTTGCTACTGATTGTATTCTTTGACATAAGGTAAATTATCACGTAAAAACGGCGCAGGAGTGTTATAAAGCCATTATATAAAAAATGTTAAACAATATTATATGACACTAGTGTAATGACCGCCTCCGTGGTTGAGGGGTTAGAGTCGATGACTTCTAATCCAGTTACCTCTCTGGCGTGGGTTCGATCCCCGGGAGATGCTTTGGTAGATTAGCAGGGAGAAGGTAGTTTAGTACTTGTGTAACTCTCCAGGAACGATGGGTATGAAACTTCTCGCCTATATGACTGAAATACTGTTGGGAAAAGGAGTAAAATCAAACAAACAAACAAACACTAGTGTTATGACACTTTGATGAGACGTCAATTGCGCTATTATCTTCAAAAAAGGCATAAAAGCGTGTATTTGTTAGTGTTACTACACTATAGGCGCCTCAATGAACAAGAGCGATCAGTGATCACATGTGTCGCCTCGTGATGGCCAATTTCATGTTGGGACAAGTTTTGTGACAGACGGACAGATAGACGGACGGTGCAGAAACTATACTTGGTACTGATCATTCCTCTAAAGTTTGGATGAAATTGCACCAGTAGTTTATGAGGAGTAGTCCGGACAAGCTTTTGTGTATCTGGCAACACACATAAAAACACCTTTTTATCAAAGGGCCATAACTCGGCCAAAAATCATTCAACCAGAAAATACGTGCAATATGTGCAAGGACTTGAGCTACAGATCAATCCTGTAAAGTTTCATTGAAATTGCATTAGTGGTATAAGAGAAGTAGTCCGGACAAACTTGAAAAATAAAAATTATTCAAGGGGCATTACTCTGACAAAAATCTTTGAACCGGAAAATGCTGACAATATGCACAACTAAACTAAGTTTGGATGAAATTGCACCAGTAGTTTATGAAGAGTAGTCCGGACAGGTTTTGTGACGGACGGACAGACGGACGAACGTTCTCACAGGGCAGTAATTATGTGGCTTCTCTATTGTTCTCTCTATTGTTCTTTTTAGCCACACAAAAGAAAATAACCACATAAAAGCATTACGGAATGAATGACATCAAAGAGAAAGAACAGTTACCTATTGTCCCTCTTGCCACATAATTACTGTCCTGTGAGTGCGGACAGACGGACAGACAGACGACGGAGGAGTGATCCCTATATGTCGCCACTACTCCGTAGAGGCGACACAAAAATGACTCTTTAACAGTTTTATATATGTGATAAATAGAATATTATATTTGTGTAGATTGAATACCAAATTTATTGAACTTGTTGAATAAAACAATGTTATGCTCGATAAAGGCTCGCATAATATGATTTTATTCAACTGGTTCAATAAATTTAGTATTAAACCTACAATCATTCAATATCCTCTATTTAATGTATAGTTGATATTTTTCGGTCAATCAATTACCGATACAGAAGAATTGAAATAAAAACAATTCTTTTGCATACAATCATCAATGAAAGGTTTAGGAATGCTAAAATTAGCAAAACATATAAACATAAGAATGGGCACATCTAAAACTATACTAGCAGTAACTGTTGTTACTTGATGGATTTTATTTATTTTGTAAATTTACATATTTTATAGCAATGATAATAACAAGACCTGGCAGAGGAGACAGCACACTCTATTAAATAAATCATTATGTAAAGCAAGACAAAACTATGAAAAAAATTAATTATGATACAAATACATTTTGGTATAGGTATCAAGAAACATTCCTATGTTCAATAAATTTGCATCACATAATTTGCATGACACCATGTCAATAAACATACATTTTCTAATGAAAAAGGCAACAATCTGAGTCATTTTCCCTTCAGTAACAAAAATGAAAAGAGCAAAAGAAATTTTTTAAATAAATGTAAAGCTCAGAGAAGACATTACTCTTGAAATAAAGATGCTAGAATTATGAACTTTGTCATACACCATGCGAATACTGAAAAAGAACTTAATTAGATACTATTTATATAACAAAAAAGATAAAATTCTTAGAAATATTTATCAAAAATTAAATGGAGATAGACCTGAATTATACAGGAGCCAGAGTTCTAATTTCACAAGATAATCCTCTGATAACAAACATAGTTTTCAAAAATGAATTAAATCCATGAAAAAATATTCAAGTTATATAAATTATAATAAAAAATATAATAAATGAGAAAACTTCTAAGTTAAAGGGGAAAATACAAGAGAAATGAATCTAAAATGTCATATAATTACGATATGTGGTTTATATGACACTTAAATTAAAAGTTGAAGTAAATCCTTGAATTTTTTTAAAAAGGTTAGTGCCAAAAATAACAATATATTTAAAGCAGCACGCCTCCAGATTCATCCTAATTTTCATGAAAATTTTGAAAATGTATTTAAAGGTAAAAATATTGTGAAATGAACAAAGAAAGTACTTGACACATTACAATCGGCACTTAAAATCCACGTAAATTACCAAAAAGAGGTCAAAATATGCATAAAGAGCCTCTACTGCGTTAGTAACGCAGCAGAAATATGGTGATAAATACTACAAAATACAGTCATTAATTGCACATAAGATATAAATTATTACTTGAATCTTTAATTTGTTTACTTTTCTCAAAGTTTTAGTATGGTTTTTCAAAGTTTAATTTTCTTAAAATATTTTGGGTCATCTGGAGGCATGCAGCTTTAAAGTTGATACCTAAAGATAAATAAAAAACTGATAGTAAAGAAATTAGTACTTAACAAAGTCTTTAAGTGAGGAGGAGACGACTGAGCATGCATGCAGTATGCATTGATATACAGTACAAATCATAATTTAATGCAATGACAGACATTCATGATAGGGAAATCATGTATCATGTAAAAGGGTATGAATGTGAAATATGGATACATTTTACTCAACATATAAACTTTTCACTAATATTTAGTATCATTATGATATTGATAGAATCGTCTATACGTTTTAAACTGAATTAATTACAGTGCTTCAACAAAGTCTAGAAGCGCAGGAATGATTTGTCTCTGCAGATTTTCACTGAGATCATCTCCAAGATTCTAATTAACAAGATATGTTTGTAAAGCATGTATGTCCCCTACTGGCAGCCAATTAGTGAGGTCAATTGCGCATTGACTTTTGACCTGGTGGCCCAATACTGATATTAAGGAATCATCTTCTATGCCAGACCAATGCACCTGGCAAGTTTTATATCGGTGTGTCTATTAGTTGTCAAGTAATTGGTTGGAAACTGTTTTGACAAACAAGTTTAATATGACCTTGACCTATGATCACTTAGACACTAAAAGCAATAGGAATGATCTACTGGCCATAACTTTAATGCAGCTGTGAAAATTGAGGGCCATTGATGTCAATTTAGTTATTGTTTGTAAACGATTTTGACATTCAATGTGACCATGACCTTTGGCCTATTAAACTCATCCGCAGGTCAAAACTAATCTCCATACCAAGTTTGCAGTTCATAAAGCAAGTTGTTCTTAGGTTAATGAGTGTAAACAGTTTTGTCTTCAGACTGACTGACAGAAGAACCCAGCAACTGACAAATGTGATGCAATTAGTAACTTAGTGCAATATATCCCCACTTCTTCTAAGGAGGCATACTTATGTTAATTTACATATACAGTTTATAAGGCTGTCCATCATAAAGATATTTAAGAAGTCTTACCAAGACAAGAGGAAGTTTTTCAAATACATATCTACAAATTGATCTATTATCACACAATGCTCCATAAAAAATGTCATGGGAGATTCTGCACAACATAGAATCGGAAATTTTGATCCATTAGGCCACTGAAACGAGAAATAACACATATGATATAAATTGAAAATTGTGAATGTTTGACGAAATTTTACAGTCTTATCTACTTCAACATTTTACATGTATACATGTGATAAACTGATTTCCATGAAAATAAGTTTTTATAGGCGGCAAAATACTGACATGTAGATTTAATTGTGACGTTATGACTAAAAGTCTTGCATACTTGAATAAATGTTTTATGTTTTCTGTCAATGGGTATCAAAATACTCTTGTTATTAATATGAGGCGCAGTGAACAAGAGGGGCATGATGGCCCTGAAATTGCTCACCTGTATATAGTAAGTCTCCATGACAAATAAAGTTGAATATTTAATTATAAACAAAAGCAAATATAAAATCTAAATCTTAAACTGATGTCACAAGTTTATATTTGTATCTAAAATAGTGCATGACTGTGTATAAGCATTAGTTTTTTTTATTAAAAATGTATATATATATATATATAAAGAAAATCAATGACCCTCAATCGCGGGGCGAATTTTGACCCCAGGGCTTTTATTTGAACAAACTTTGTAGACACTTGCTAAAAAATGTTTCGTGCTAAATATCTAAGCTCAAGCGCTCATGTTTTGTTTAAAAGAAAATTTCTTAAATTTTAAATAATTAAACAGATTGAAGGAAAATCAATGACCCCCCCCCCAGGGGCGGGACCAATTTCAACCCCAGGGCTTTTATCTGAACAAACTCTCTGTAGACACTAGAAGATGTTTTATGCTTAGTATCGAAACTCTAGCACTGGGTTTTTTAAAAGAAGATTTTATAAGTTTTTACTATACACATATAAAGCCATCATGGTGTTACTTTGCACACTTATTCATCATCAGGACCAAAACTTGTGGACTGGAGGAGGTAACTCTATCAAGCATTTTTATACAATTATGGCCCTTTTTGATTTAGAATTATGCTTAAGTTTGAGTACCATCTCAAATATTTTCAAAGTGGGTATGTCAATGGACTTTGAAACTATCTGAGATGGTACGCAAATCAATCCTAAGCTTAAATTCTAAGTTGAAAAAGGGACATAATTCTGTCAAAATGCTTGATACAGTTACCTTCTCCTGTCTTCATGTTGGGGGAATGCTGGTGAACAAGTGTGCAAAGTAACAAAGCTATATATCAATGGACTTTGACACTATTTGATGTGGTACACAAACTTAAGCATAAATTCTAAGTCACAAAAGGGACATAATTCTGTCAAAATGCTTGATAGAGTTACCTCCACCTGTCTATATGTTGGAGGCATGATGATGAACAAGTGTGCAAAGTAACAAAGCTATATGTCAATTGACTTTGACACTGTTTGAGGTGGTACGTAAACTTAAGCAGAAATTCTATATCAAAAAGGGGGATAATTCTGTCAAAATGCTTAATAAAGTTACCTCCACCTGTCTACAGATTGGGGGCGGATCATGATGGTGAATAAGTGTACAAAGTAACAATGCCATATGTCAATGGACTTTGAACATATTTAAGATGGTAGTTTATTTAACAATTAGGCATATATCCATGTGTCTTCATTGACTAAGTTAGTTTAAAGTTTTATTATGACTATAAAATAAAAAAAAAATATTAAAAATATTAAAAGTGGAATTTTTATAAAGCATTATTTTATTTAATTAAAAGTAAATCTTATTATTCAATTAGAATGCTTTATTTCAATACTTAGGTGTCTAAAATAAGATAATATACTGTAAAAAGTAAAAAATTCAATATAAAATCTCTTACCTGTAAACTATTTCCAAATCCTAATCCCAAGTTATCCATTAACTTCCGGTAAAAAAACTTCCTTGAATTATTTCTCCTCTTAAAATTGATTTTATTTATTTATTTATTAACAACTGTCACTTAATTAAACTTTAAGTAGAAATAAATGTTTGTAAATTAAATACACTGTCTATACAGTACATGTATAACGTAGAAAAAAAATCGCCATTTTGTTTTCTCAGTGTCCATATTTAAATTGTTTTTATTAATTAAAATCATAAAATTTTTACAATGTTTTTTCTTTGTTTATTCTTTACTTGGTTTTATTGTTTTGAACTCAAACCACCAGTCGTCATTGTCTTGTATCACATGAAAAGTTTGTGAACTCCGAATATTTACTCTAACACGGTCATATTCTGTCCTCGGTTTAATTTCGTGCATCTTTACTGTAACTGACTGCGGCAGATTTTTCAGCACGATAATAAAGTTCTGTAAACTTTCTGCAGACATTTCTATATCCCTCAAATCCACACGTTCAATATTTAACATGTCACGTGATAGTAACAATGAACTTTCATTTGGATTGATTCCCCACAACCTAACATTAACCAATGACGGTGTTGTTATATTTAATTGTGGTCTCCCAGGTAATTTTACCAAGTGTAACTTTGATAGATTTGAATGTTGAGACAAGTCCAAGTTCCATCTCTTACAATCATGGTCCCCATGTTCTTTACAGCATAACCCGTCCAATGTTATCTCTTTCATTGATTTTTGACCGGAGATAAAATTGAAAAATGTTTCCAGTATTTTGTGAGATAACATATAGTAGTGAATATCTAAATATTGTAAGTTTTGTACTCGCGCTAAATTTTCACTCAGATTTTCTTCATCATTTGTCCATGTGCCAGACAACAAAGTAACGTACTGTAAACTAGGAAACAATATCTGGGTTATCTCAGCCTCCTTCTCCCTGATGTCATCCTTATAGTTAAGTTTCTGTATATGACGGAGATGTGTGAGAGAGAATAAATCTGTAATTTCACGTAAACTGCTGGAAGAACGGCCGTTGTTTATATTAAGTGATTTTATGTTGGCTTTATTCTGTTTTAATAAACGTTGTAACTGCTTACTGTACACGGTGTGCCGGTCAATGAAGAAATCTTGTAAAAATAATTGAATATTTTCACTTTCAGGCATTTCTTGTAAACACGACATGAACATTTCCTGTATGTTATACAATGGAGTATTGTACATGGAGAACTCGTAACCTGTCCTAGTTCTATAGTAGCGTGTTTTCTCGTCTTCATTTATCACAGACATCAAATCATTTGATATTGCACACATCAAGTCAGCATTCATTCCACTTATAAATTCACAAATTTTTGACATGTCTAGAATATCTTGAACAGTTCTACAATTTTCTACAACAGTTTTCTGAGCGTCACTTTGAGAACTTATAAAAATGGCGGCAAAATATTCTTGCACTGTTTTGTGAGAAAAGGATACTTTGATAATTTCTTTAATTAAAGTTTTACTTCTACTTTCTGACAGTATTCCTGAGAGAAGACTTAATTTCATGTCGTCTGCTTTGAGATATATATCAGCAACCATTCTATCAAATACAAGCGTGTTTTCTCTTGTTTCATTGAATAATGTTTGGTAAGCTAGTTCTGCTAATGATGTTATAAGACTGTAAAACTTTTTACAAAATTTTTGACCTTTGAAGTATTCTGAAATTTCACCGGCAGACGATTCACCAGCTGGTTGAACTTCCGGGTGTTTCTTTGACGTTCTTGATAATAGAAATTCAATGATATTGGTGTAAATTTCATGTTTTGAATTTCCTATAGGAATCTTGTTGCACCATAAGCAAACTATATACATGAGGAGGAGTGGAATCACTTGCATGTGCTCTAGGCGACGGTCACGTATCACTTTATTAAAGTCCTGTCTTTTACTCTTCAGTATTCTATCGTCATGGACACCGGTCATTTTTCTTATAGCATTTTCTTCTAGTTGCCGCGTAGAATCTGCACTTAATTGAACCAATTCTGCTTTTTTGTTTATTTGACTTGTTTTGAGATTTGCAACTCCAAGCTTCCACGGTCGAGTTGTCGTTAAGATAACACAATTATCGCGTACGTATCGATGTGGGATTTTTTCTGTTACTTCGCTACAGCTATTATCAGGGTGAGTCCATTCATCAAGACCGTCCAATATAATCAAGCATTTTTCTCTACGTAAAACTTCATATAGTATTGTAGAAGTAGGAAGTTTCGTCGTAATTTGCTGTTCAATCATATCGTCAATGTTACAAACAGAGGTACTGTCTCTTAATAAAACCAAAAATAAGAACTTGAAGTCAAATAACGTCTTTAACTCGTCGTCTTTAAAGCAGGCGTAGTTTTCATCGTGACAATGAGCTTGACACCACGTGACTGCAAGATATTTTGAGAAAGCAGTTTTTCCAAAACCTGCATCAGCTGATAGATAAATTTCTTGTTGATCTCGACTTCCGGTTGAAAACAGGTCTTTCAAAGACTTAATCGGTGTTCTCTCCTCTTCATGACAAGTTAAGGACTTCTTTTTGACGGCGACTATATCTGGCATCACGTAGAACCCTGCTAGCGGTGTCTCTATTTCTTCAAGAAGCGGTGACAGAGGTATTGAACTACACCTTTTTCTGTAGAATTTAATCAGGTCGCCTTGAAGTTCTGCAAAGAGAGTAGGAAAAAGGGTAAATCAGTGACAATCTTTCTATATAATATATGAAATGCTGAAGTGTTATTATAACTTCAATTTTGCATGGTTAGGAACAAATAATGCATAAATTGACAAATAAGAAGTAGATATGTAATATTGTATTCAGATGATATGTTTAACAATTAAAGCTAAACTTTGATTTAATAATTGCATAAATTCATATGTAGAACGAAGTATTTCCATCTGTAATAATTAATACATTGTATGCTTGAAAATAAACATTTTCGTTCTTCATTAAATGGTGGGGGGGGGGGCAAGCTAATTAAGAAAATATTTCTTCTATAGTTCATTGCATGAACAGACACCAAGAACGATATATGTTTAACATGTTTGAACCGTTTTAAAATGATATTTTTACATTAAAAATATGAAAAAAAAATCTTGATCAAATGATAAATTTACATTGAAAATATGAAAACAAATAGTTATCACGGAGGGGAAATAAGAAGGGGGGATTTTTACTCGAACAGGAAGTAATTCCTCCTGATTTCTCCATCATATCGGAATTCCTCGGCTATTATTCATAATCAGACTTAATACGGACTACAGTATTGTTTGATTTTATTAACCTGACGATAGCATACTTATGAGACTGATTATACGGTCAAAGCACACAATATATAGATATACTGTAGATTTTCGGCAAAGCACCTTATAACATGTGATTACATTTGTTTCTGTAATATACATGTAGTTATACTGAGCGTCTTAACGCAATAAGGAGTACCACTAGCTGGTTAGTTCTACATTTTTGTAAACACTTGGTCATTTCTATTAAAAATACTTAAAAAAATAAATAAAGAAACGAAACTATGACAACAGTTATCCTCTGACCACTGACCACTCGTATACCAGGCACTCACTTTACAGGATGTGATTACGACTTATATATTGTGACTTTTCAAAACATTATTTATATTTTCCATATTAATTATCGTTAACTACATGGATATAACCGAAGTTGGATCGAATATTAAAATTAATCTTAAAAAATGTATTTTTGTGCTTTGATGCACGGTCTCTATTGTTTACGTAACTCAGGAGTTGTTGCCCCTGTTTGTGACTCTCTTCCAAGACATCTTAAATATCAAGAAGAATATGTGTACTTTCCATTTTTTATTTTAAGAATAAAACACATGTAAAGTCCAACATAAAGTGAAAATGATAACAACAAACATATGGAATGAAATATAAAACATGTTAAAATGAATTATAAAACATGTTAAAATTACATAATTAAATATAGAACATGTTGTCAAGAATATAAAACATTTTGCAATGAATTATAAAACATGTTGCAATTAATTATAAACATGATTCAGTATAATCTACTTGTGTCATAAACCTTAGGTGCGTCATTACAATATCAGTTTAGCCAAAAGAGGCGCTAATCAAGGCAAAGGATAAATAAGCGGATTCGGAATTGAATTATCAATTTACACTGGGTCCGTTAACAAACAAAAATAATAAAAATGTTTAACTATTACAAAAACATAGACACATTTACAATTTATAAAATGTAATCTTGAGAGAACATGTTAACAACATTTTGAGAATTCAAGTTTAACAAAATCTGTCAGTAAATCAAAATATAAAATTCTTACCTACAATATCAAGAAGAATATGTTTACTTTCCTTTTTTATTTTAAAGAATAAAACACATGTAAAGTCCAAAATAAAGTGACTTTACTAAGGAAAGACACACTTTTTAAAGAAAGACCAAAAAAGATTCGAACTAATAACCATTGACGTTACAAAAAAAAACAACCAATCAAAAATTATATATCGAAATATCCCGAACCACTGCCGGCGGCTTGTGCCGAAAAAAGTGCTAAAACACTTTTTGTTCGCCTTATCAAACAAACATGGCTTAGGCCGGAATGGCTGTCTTAAGCCGGAATGTATGTTTTCTATTTCAATAAAGATTTATCACCAGAATTTGTATAACAGATTACTTATCAAAATATGAATTTCTTAGACTGCTCAACCTCCAATTGAGAAATGAATGGCATCTTTAGCATGTGGCAACAAAATGATTTTATAAAATTTTAAAAAATATGCTTGAATACAAAAATGACAATTACAAAAATATAAAAAAGATTATTTCATGAATTTTTATCGCATAAAGATTTTGCGAATTTTCATCGCATAACAGTATTCATATTTGACAGGTCAATAAAATCAGACTATAAAAGTATTTCTACCACGTGATTTTATATGTAAAACACAGAGTGTTATCTTTGATAAAAAATACGATGTAAATATTTGACATTCAAAAAAGTCAGTTTCGGTACAAATTTGATTGAAATGTCTGACAACCATGTTGAAAACATACTGGACCCTATGTAAACAGGTTGACATTTTGCACTTTCGATTTCTTAAAGCCATAAGCTTAATAATGCATTGTTTACTTTTATACCTATGAATTTACTTAATTTTGGTAGACTAACGCTCGATAATTTGGCAGAAAAAAAGGACTTTAGTCATCAACCCCCAGCATTGAATTGCTATTTACATGGTTTGTTACTTAATTTTAAATTGCTAGGTTAGACCAAAATACCATATACATACTATTCAAGAATGATAGATGATGTGTTTTAAAGTAGGCAAATATTCAATTACCCATTTTAATGGCCAAACACAATCACGTGACATTAAAATGGCTTATTGAATAATGTCTACTTTAAAACACATCATCTATCGAGTCACCGTACCTGTGCTCGACCAGCCCATTGCTCGACCAATACTTCTATTTGCGTACGATTTATGCGTTATTTAAGTGAAAAAAAACAACGCTCGGAGTTATGTGTGCTATTTATACCTGACCTGTAACCTCTACACTCAAAGTTTGGTAGAACTTGGCAATTTTGCAGACGATAATAAACAGTACAAAATATATGTCTATAATAAAAGTTGCAGTAAAAACTATTTAAAGGACTGAAATAATGATAATTTAGGGCAAATTTGGACAATGCTTTGTTAAATTTCCTTTACTCTTATGTTTTCAATTGAAGGGCCCCCACAAATCATCAAAACCCGGCTTCCCATACAAGGCAATGGCTATGAACATGTAAACAAATATGTCAGCTGTCCGATTACAAATAAGGAACACATCACTTAAAGGGCAGACCCGTATCCCACTTTACTATGTTTGCAGTGATAGAATATGAGAATAAGTAATCTCAAACTCCCAAGTAAAAAGCATCTTTAAAACACTTTATTTGTCAATCTCTAACATTTCCATTCTTTCATATTTATCTTATATTTACATACACACTAAGACATAAATGTTCCAAAATATTTTTGAAATAAATTTGTTTAACACAAAAGTCATATCTGTTTTTCAAAAGTAAAAGTTCTGATAAAAATATAACCACCTGGTCGAGCACTGGTTACGTTGCTTAAAAAATATAGTGGTCTTATGCCCTATGTACAACTCCGTGTCCAACAACATTGACCTGGCACTCTTGCATTTGACCCTGAAGTCGGTATATTCCGAAAACGTTACGCATTACTTGTAAATCGAGAAGAATGTAAATATCCATTTGTTAAATGACATTATTGCAAACCTTTTTGATGTGTGTACAATAGGCATGTAGTATTTTTAATAACTGCCTTTATAGTGTATATGCGCCAAAACATTATACGACTGCATAATGTCACAAAGAGAACAGTTGAAAGATACTGTAATGAAATAAAAATATAACTGTGTATAGAAACACCACTTAAAAGGTATTCTAAAACCAGGTGTAGTAAAATGATTTCAAATTAATTCTTGCAAGTAACTTAAAAAAAATATCATAACATGGTGTTTGTGAGGAAACGAACCAGAGACCTTCAGATCGGTAGTCCGACATCTATAACAATGTACCACACCTCATTGACGAGTGAAGTTATATCAATATATTCGATAGATACTGGTCAGTGTTTATTCAAATGACCTTTATGAAAGTTAATGAAGTGCTAGGTCAATATTGTTTGACAATATCCTGATCAGTGTCCTTAAAACGCTTTTGTTTATTAAGTTTGAAAGGCCCGGCTTTGTAACAAAAATAAGTTTCCGAGCAATCTTTTTGTTTTGAAAGAGTTTTTTTCTGGATTTTGTGAAATACTGGTTGAGCACTGGTCCGGTGACTCTAACCTATTTCATGTTTATCCTTCATTATCTGATATTTTACATTTTTCATTGATAATATTAAATGTAAAAATATGAAAAGTTAAATAATTTTTTTCACGGCTAATTATGAAACTCAAGCCATCTGAAGCTCACTAGACTTTGGTTTTTCAGCGTATAACTCAGCTTTCAAATATAAATGAGTGGTAAATATCTAATCGAAACCGTTAATAACAGTGGACTATAATTATACATGTATAACATCTAGTCAAAATATATTGACGTGCCAAAGCTTGATTCTGAGATATTTTCGTTCTGGAGCAGAATCTCATCAGATATTGCCCAGACACGAAAATAGCACAATATCTCGTCGCGAGTCCTAATTGGACTAGTATAACATCATAAGTCACCAATAATTTGAAATAAAATAAAACAATAAATTGTCGTCTGCTTTCACTTCCTTGACATAATAACATATTGTAAAGACATTTTTTTAAAACATTCAAAACATAGAATAAATAAATTTTCAGTAAATCAAAATCTTACCATTTCTATCACTACTACAAAAGAATTCGCATCAAAAACAAACAAAAAAGAAAAATGTTTAAAATGTTCCATCACTGGTGAATAAGCGCGGACAACTGAAACAAACATTATATATCTATAAATAAGAAATGTATTACTTTTTGACAAGCATAGCCAAACAGGGGAGGAGCCAGGATTTAAGGTAAGACAGTGCATACTATCAAGGGGGAGGAACGGTTACACGCAGGATGGATTTTATTATGATAACTTGTTACGGAGTTCATGGAAAACGTAACATATTTCGTCAGAAAACTTTATTGTATACTAGAGAAACACGTGAAACATTGAAATAAAGTTAAATGGGGAGTTCAAGTGCTAAATTAAATTTTGATTATTAAGCTTGCCTTACAAATTTGTATTTTATTTCAGAAAAAAAACACTTTAAAATCCATTTGTCATCGCCTCTTGTTTAAATCTCGTAATTTTGTGTAAAAATTCCAAATTACTTGCGCACTCGAACGTATTGACCTTTTCATTTATGATCTCTTTCGTTGCCATACCTTATTACCTTATTAAAATGGAAAGTTTCAAATGTTATGCCCAGGCTAATAGATTTATACCCGATTTTCCAAATGTCATGGAGTTCATGCGATAACTCTGCAATTGTCCTAGAGTTCTTAATTATGATAACGTTTGTTACTGCCAGTGTGTTTCAAGATTGTGCTATGTTACGGCACGTTTTAGCGTATTTTTTATCTAATAAGTGGTAAATCATTATGAAGCGTATAGTACGTAGTACGCTTATCATTTGCACACAAATTTGGATATATAATGTTGGTTTTGGTTGTACTACAGTTCAAGAGATAGTTTTTCTTATCTCCGTTTCTTGTGTGTATTTTTTTCTCAATTTATAGAACTTTTTGCTAAAGCTATGTTCTCACCGCCGATCAGATCAACTCGATCGTCCCGAAAACATTAATTCCCCGATGAAGCCCGACCAAGCTGGATTAAATGCAAATTCACGAATCCTACACGACCTCAAGTCGACCATGTTTACGACTTCTTCTCTACGACAACCGGCCAACATCCCGACTTCTTTTCGATCACCCAGACCTATACGCGAGCCATACACGATCTCAACTAGACTAACTGGACCTCTGCTCGATTGTTGCCAGATTTCCACCCGACCAGATCGGATGATGCTCGAGTAGAAGTCAAGATGATTGTGTACAGATCGGGTAAGAGTTGTTTACCCGATGTATGAACCCGACCAAACTAGATCGTTACACGATTTATTCTCGATCATCTAGATCTTCTACTCGATCACTATACGATCGCTTCTCGACGTCTTATCTACTCGATCGCTACTTGAATTTTTTTGACATGTCTTTTGACAGCTAGACTGGTTCCCGATCGCTTGATTGTGCTTGATCGAATTGATCTGAAAGGCGGTGAGAATACATCATCACGCATTTTTTGTAGACTGAAAAAAGGCTAAAAAAGAACATTAAGTAACAATATGTTATTGGTCTGCCGAAACAAAATACATGTATATGGTTTGCAGCAAAATATGAAGTAGTATGCACTAACTTTATCTACATTTAATGAGGTTGGGGTCATCTTCAAGTATTCTACTGATATTTTGATTTTTGCCATATAGACGTAGAAAAAATATGAGAACGATATAACAATTTTAATATTAGATGTGAGTCACCTTAAGGTTTATGCCGTTGATCGACCAATGTCCTTTCTTTATTAAATCCAACTGAGCATCACGTGATGTACAGAGATCTATCTACCTACATATGTACCTACCCACCTGATTACCTGCCTACCTACCTGCCTACCTACCTACCTGCCAAGCTACCTACCTGACTGCCTACATGCCTGACTACCTACTTACTACCTACCTGCATACCTACCTGCCTGCCTACCTGACTGCCTACCTGCCTCCGTTAGGTCGATATGCTTTTAACATATTTTTCACAGATTTTCGATTGTAATTCTGTATTGCCCGGTCCCGTACAGTTTTCGTGCACTGCAGTTATTGTCGTGAGAGTAATTGATAAAAAAAAACATGAATTATATATCACTTGAAGGTGAAATACATGTATGTCTCAAATAAGAAACCAAAAGAAAAAGCCCGGTATCCAGCGTGTCGTGAAAACGTCTCATCATACAGTTACCTTAGTAACGTTAAACCGGCACACGACGAAAATGGCTTAGTTCATTCCTTTGATGCATCACATATAAGCGTCAAAATTCCGGGAAAAGTGTGTGTACGTATTCCTGACGTCACTAGAAAATATGACGTCATTTGCCCTATTGTAACGTTTTCGTGTGGTCGTCAAAGAGTTGATAGATAGTTATTAAGGTATCGTATTTTTTGTAATCATTTTTTTAAAATCAATTAATCTATTAAATGACGCCGTAACTTTATATAAAGAATAATTTAGTTTGGTACACTATACTTTTCTACACATCAAAGGAGAGCTGAAGGGACGGCAGTTCAAAACACTTAATGATCTTCAAAATGCATTGTTCTGAGTAGTATAGGGGTCGGTTTGGCGTCACTTCTGCGCATGCGCGGCGGCCATATTGGATTTTTTATTTGGAATGACATCATCGTTCTATTTTGAGAATGTGATCATCCGTCTATTTTTAGAAATCTATTTTTAATCTCCCGGAAGTATACGGAGCTGACTCGTATACACGATTTAGGGCTTGAATCGCGGACATTGAGGGTCAGGTCCTCGGCCCTAGACGGAGAGATAATTACCATTATGACAGATAAAAGAAATGTTTGTAAATAGATACGTACTTAACATTTTAATTTATAAAAAATAGTTTTTTAATAGGTTCAAAATAATATTGATACAAATATAACTCGTTTACTTACCTACATTTAGTAAGGAAATGACTGTCATAGCGTAACGTTCTTGTAGACTGCGCATGATCTATTTTTAGTCGCGGTATTTCACAACCACCAGGAGCTATTTCATCAGCCCCACGCGGGTGTCAATGAAAGAAAAAGGCATTAAGTACAGTCGCCGCTCAGTCTAGATTCACAATACCTAGCGGCACTATGTTGAACAAAAACCCTTTATCCTTCGTTACTAAATATAACTTTTTATTAATCACAAAAGAATCTATTATCCTTTCAAACGCAGCGACCGTCAAGTACAGTCGCCACTTAGTCTAGATTTACAATACCTAGCGGAACTATGTTGAACAAAAACCCTTTATCCTTCGTTACTAAATATAGCTTTTCATTAATCACAAAAGATTAATAGAATTGACGGACCTTTTCTCTTCGCATGCATTCACAAATTTACGCTTTATATATCGTACCCCTTAATTAGGTTCCTTTCAAGTGCATACTACGGTCAACTGATTGCATATTTTAAACACGGTTGCCCTTAACAACTGGTCAAATTTTGTGATTTTTATGAACACTTTAAATTCCCGTTTTTTTTTTTACGAAAATTGATTTTGAATGAATACACTTATGTATACGAAAGTTGTAAACTGATTTTGAATGAATAACTTATGTATAAGAAAGTTGTAAACTGATTTTAAATGAAATTTATAATACATTTAAGCTATAAACCGGTTTTTTATCGTTTGGGCAACCGTTTACGCTCAAAATTTTCGAGATAAAGTCGTTATAAGATAGAATAAACCGAAAGCTTTCGTTTTGACCCGGGGTTCTCGATTCGATTTTCAGCCGTTTTTGAGTTATGACGCAAGAGCGATTTTAAACCCTAAATTGCGAAAGTCAATAAAAACGTTAGAACTTTTTACCAATCGATTCGTCTCGTCGCGCTGATTAAGAAAATATATAGTTTTATGGGTTTATCTTTTACCGTTTTCGAGTAATTCGAGTTTAAAGTCACCGGAAGTGACGTCACAGAAATTTCAAAATCGATTTTTTCCGTTATTACTTGACCGAATATACTCGTGTTTGGTATCGTTGGAAAGCATTTTACCACACCTGTTACCTGACGCTATTCAAAAAGCCATTGGACCGGAACTGAAATCACTGAAGCGTAAAAACGTGTTTTCTGTACCACGTCCGGACCGAACTAAGGCGTGTTTGGTATCAAACGAAATGTCTTAAGCCGCTCTTTATGAATACGGACTAAAATCGAAATTAAAATCACTCATGCGTAAAAATCATTAAAATAACTAAAATAAGCTTACCCCCAGTCTTTACTCCTTGCCTATCAAACTATTTATGACAAGTTACTATAGCCTATCGTTAAACGGTCCAGTTACGACAGGTTTAAACCGGTATTGCTATTTTTGATTAGCCAATGAAATTGAAGAACGGTGACGTTTAAAAATAGACAGCCTCGTTTTGAACCCACTCTTTTTCATTAACCAATCAAAATGGAGAACGATGACGTTTAAAAATAGACAGCCTCGTTTTGAACCCACTCTTTTTCATTAACCAATCAAAATGGAGAACGATGACGTTCTTACCAAAAATAGATATGACTCGCGCAACGGAGAGTATATAAGAGAGCGCTTTAGCCCCCTCCGTCATTCTGACTTCAGAACTCTAACCGACAACATGGAAAACATAGCAGCTACTTTCGAAATGATGGTGAATTCTTTCACCGACGCTGAAGAATTAATGAATTTTGCTGCGACATGGGGGATACAGGATTCCCCCGGGGTGCGGTTTCGACTATTTCAGTTAAGGAACCCACAATATGGAGATGACTTTGTGAATGAACAAATGGAAAGATTACTCGACAGTTTAAACGACACAATGCAGAACCGAGAAGACACGGAAAATTTTGATTTGGCGCTAGAGTACGTAAGAGAGCAAGAGGAAATCGAGGGTGCAGTAAGAGCACTATTATTTGACGAAGAAATGGATAAGATGGCGACTGCTTGTGTGGAAGACGGGGAGTGGAGCCCTCAATCACCAGGGCTACAAGTAGGGAGTGGGGATGAGCCTCAAGCGGGACCCTCTCATAGGCCCGACGCCCCACGGGAGCTTCAGTATACGATAAGTAAAAAATCAGAAAGGACATACGCAACAAAAGCAGCGGTGGATCGTACATATCAAGTGAAAATTGATGAACAGTATAATGGACAGAGACTGCAAGATGTGAGACAAGGACTTCACCAAATGTTTGAAGACGTGCTCGAAGAAGCCCGGGGCAATTTGGCGGGGAACGATTTGGGTCGTGTCGTTATTCATCATCAAGGATTACACGACCCCATCATTGTGCCCCTCCAGCCCTGGGACCAGTTGACCGCCAATAAAGTGATGGAAATCATCGAAAAGGTACTGAATAGCAACCAAAACTTGTCCATCGATGAAAGCTTCTATATTTCTATAGGCTCCATCGAATTACCAAAAGGAAGCGGTGGTCCACGACGAAGAATCACTAAACTAAAAGGAAAAAATAATTCGTTAAAGTTGAAAACCTCTATAGTGACCATCGAAAATGATGACCAAATGTGTATGGCCAGGGCGATCGGGGTGAGCTGGGCCAAGTTAAACAGATGTAGCCAAGACGAATGGAAAGAAATTGCTAAAAACCGCCAAAAGAAGTCTAATATACAGCTTATACTAGAACATCAGCAAGTGCCAGAGAGTTACTATAAACATCTACGTTCAAAATCTCGCGATGAACAGAGACAACTAGCGGTAGCCATCAGCCAATTAGCCGGAGTGCCCTTAGATCGGTCCGCTAGTTTAAACGATGTAGAGGCGTTTGAAGAAGTGTTGGGAGTGCGCGTGATGGTGGTCAGTGCTAGACTAGGTAACAAGTTCATAACTAGCCCTAGTAAGGACAAGCGTCCATGTATTTACCTGTATCTCGTGGACGACGACCACTTTCATGCCATTACCAGCATCACGGGATTCTTCAGCGCGATGTATTTCTGCGACCAATGCCTCAAACACTACGACCATAGAGAAAGACATCAGTGTGAGACCTCGTGTATAGTATGTAAGACGGATAATTGCCCGGAAACAGAAAATACAGTCAAATGTGATAACTGCAATATGACATGCAGATCAGAAAAGTGCTATAATCAACACAAGACAGTACCGGTACACAAAAAAGGAAAATGTAAAGGAAAACCCAATGGACTATCCCAATGTCAAAAATACTGGAAATGCCCAACATGCTACAAAGTCATAAGGACCGACAAAAGGAAAAAAGAAGACCATGAGTGCGGAGAATATTTGTGTAACTCGTGCGAACAATATGTAATGGAAGGACATTTATGTTATCTCAGATCAATACCAGCCAAGGAACATTATAATTCTAAATTTATATTTTTTGATTTTGAATGTTGTCAGGATGAAGTGTCAGAGTGTGAAAATGGATATGTAGCGAGTAGAAAAAGAGATTGTAAAGACTGTCAATCACATGAGGTATGTAAATCTTGCTCTAAATGTCAACACTGTAAATCATCTTGGTGCGGAAAAGCCACTCATCGTCCCAATTTCGTAGTAGCACATACTGTATGTCCAAAATGTATCGATAAACCATTGACCCCCGAATCTATATGTAAAAAATGCGGTACGCGGTGCGACGAATGTGACAACTCTGAGCTACATGATAATGAAGACCCAGGACCGTGTCCGGGTAAATGTGGATTCAGAGAAGTCACGTTCGAAGGAGCCGACACTGCAGAAAAATTTGGTGAATGGTTGTTTTCCCCTCATCACGAATATTTCAAAGTATTTGCTCATAATATGAAAGGTTACGACGGCTATTTTCTGTTAGAGTACTTAATAGACCAATCCATGAGACCGGACAAGATTATTTACAGTGGCTCCAAAATTATGTATATGACAATAGAGTCGGATTTACATATCAAAGTGATTGACAGTCTCAACTTTTTACCTATGAAATTGTCCGCCCTCCCTAAAGCGTTTGGATTGACTGAATTAAAGAAAGGTTGGTTTCCTCATTACTTCAATACTAGCGAGAATCAGAATTATGTAGGCCCGTACCCAGATGCTCAGTGTTATGGTCATGATTTTATGAGTGAGAAAGAGAGAGCTGAATTGTTAGTGTGGTTGAGTGAGAGAAAGGACGACGTGTTTGATTTTAGAAAAGAAATGTTGGATTATTGTAGAAGTGATGTAGATATTTTAAGACAAGCGTGTTTGAAATTTAGAGAGTTGTTAATGAGTGCTACGGGTGAAAGAATAGAGGTGGTGAATGAAAAAGGAAAGAAAGAAAAAACGTGGGTCGGAGCCGTGGATCCATTCGATTCCGTGACCATAGCTTCCGTCTGCATGAATGTCTTTAGAACCAAATTTTTAGAAGAAGAATGGAAAGTAAAATTAGAGGGCAGGGATGATTGGATACCTTCAAAATTAATAGACGGAAAGCTTTATGTGTTGCGCGAAAACGAATGGATCCTCGAAACCAAACTCACGGGTGAGAAAGTAAGTGAGACAGAATTTGTAAGGACACCCATAGCGAAAATTTCTCCTAATGGTTATAATGATCAATATAGCGAAGCGTCCATACAATGGTTAGAATGGGTGGCGTGTACAAAAAACGTCAAAATTCAGCACGCTTTAAATAAGGGAAAGAAATCTTTACTGGGAACACGTTACAAATTAGACGGTTACTGCGAGGAAACAAACACGGCCTATGAGTTCCATGGTTGTATCTTTCATGGATGCCCTGATTGTTTCGCAGATAACCGAGAAGAAACGCGTCACCCACTCACCAACCAATCATTAGATGAATTGTACGCGTTAACGATGAAAAAGAAAGCTTACATCCAACAGTTAGGCATGAAATACGTTTGCATTTGGGACCACGAATTCAAAAAACAAAAGATTCAAAATACTGAACTGAAACAATTCGTAGAAAGCTTAGATATAATTGATAGGTTAGACCCGAGGGAAAGTTTCTTTGGGGGTCGCACCAATGCCAGTCAACTTTATTACAAAGCGGAAGAACAGGAAAAAACTAAGTACGTGGATTTTACGAGCTTGTATCCATGGGTGAATAAGTATTATCAATATCCCGTAGGACATCCTACCATCATAACCAAAGATTTAAAAGACATTAAGGACTATTTCGGTATAGCTAAGGTCAAAATACTTCCACCTAGAGGATTATACCATCCCGTGCTACCGTATCGCTCAAATAACAAGTTGAAATTTCCCCTATGTAGGACCTGCGCCGATATGAAAATCAAAACCCATGCGCATGTTCTGAACAAGAAAGAGAGTTGACTGGTACGTGGTGTACTCCGGAGATTCAAACGGCCATTCAGTTAGGATATCAACTTAAAAAGATTTACGAAGTATACCACTGGGAGGAATCCACACAATATGACCCAAAGACCAGATCAGGGGGACTGTTTGCCAATTACATAAACACGTTTTTAAAGTTTAAGCAAGAGGCAAGCGGTTCTCCTGACTGGATACACAGTCAGCAAGATATGACAATTATGTGTCTCAATACTTACAGAAAGAGGGAGTTTCGTTGGATCGGGCAAACATCTCGAAGAACCCAGGTTTGAGAGCTCTGGCTAAATTATGTCTCAACAGTTTTTGGGGTAAGTTTGGTCAGAGACTCAATATGCGCCAGACAGAGTTCTTTCACGAACAACAGGTCAACCTCTTTTTCCAGTTGTTTGCCGATCCGACGAAAGAACCTTTAAATTTTCATATACTTACCAATGACATGATACAAATAGAATGGCAATATAAACAAGACTGCCAACCCGAAGATAATAAAACGAACATCTACTTAGCTACGTTTACTACATGCTGGGCAAGACTCAAACTCTACAGTGTGCTCGAAAAGCTCGATAGACGAGTGCTGTATTACGATACGGACAGCGTCATCTATGTGAGTCGCCCTGGACAGTATGATCCGCCATTAGGAGATTACTTGGGTGAACTCACGGATGAGCTGAGTGGAGGGGAGCATATTGTAGAATTTGTGTCGGGTGGTCCTAAAAATTATGCCTATAGAACCAATAAAAACAACGAAACTTGTAAAGTCAGGGGTTTCACATTAAATTATACAAATAGCCAACTCATCAACTTTGAAAGTGTGAAAGATATAGTAACAGACCCACAAAAGAATTCAAATATCGTAGTAACAAACCCTAGTAAAATTTGTAGAGATAAAAGAAAAAGAAAATTGTACAATAGGGAAGAAAAGAAAAGTTATCAGATGGTGTATACCAAGCGTAGAAAACTGGACAATTATGATACAGTACCATATGGATATTAGAATAAATTATTGCTGTTGTAAATATTTGTTCTTATTGTTTCGTTTTCTGTCACATGCGTTAAAAAAGTGTAACTGCTTTTTCAATTTTTGTCACTACTGATTCAAAAAGTGTTACGCATATTTCAGTTTTTGCACGTTTACATGTAATTTTCCATAGGGTATGTTTCAAAAAGTGTCACTGCTGTGTCAAAAAGTGTCACTGCTTATTCAAAAAGTGTCACTAATGTGTCAAAAAGTGTCATTGCTGTTTCAAAAAGTGTAACTACTTTTTTCAATATTTGTCACGTATGATTCTGTTTTTTGTCACATGTGTATTAAAAATGTATATTATTGAATAAAAGTATGTAAGAATATGCAGTCTTGCTTATTTCATTCTATCTTTCGTAAGAATATGAACGATACCGAGTCCCATGAACCCGAAAGGGACACGTTTATTCACTTTTCAAAAGCGGATGAAGAAATACGTTCTAACGGAGACAAGTGGCATTTATTAGGTACACGAGTACCCCAGGCTGAAATTGTCTACTTTTGCCAAATGATTATTGTCTACATTATTATCATCGTCTCAATTATAAATCTATCCCTTCAAAACGGTACTAGCGAATTGTGGATAAGTTTGCTAAGCAGTTGTATAGGATACGCCTTACCTAGTCCTAAGCTGAAGAAATAATAATGAAGGCATCTCTACCTTTCGAACCATGCTCCAGTATGTGTATAAGTGGACAGACGGGAAGCGGAAAAACGCAATGGGTGTACAAGTTTTTGCTTAACTTGAGAGATATGTATTCTAAAGACCCACCATCACACATCTTATATTCTTATGGTATTCATCAGGACTTATTTGATGAAATGGAACGGTCCATTCCAAATTTTTACAGTAAACGAGGTCTACCAACAGCGGAAGAAATGGATGACTTTACCAAAGACAAAAGACATAAGCTGATTATCATTGATGATCTCATGCATGAAGTGATGAAAAACAAAGATATGGAGCTACTCTTCACGCAAGGTTGCCACCACAGGAGAGTATCTGTCATACTTATCACGCAAAACCTGTATCCAGGAGGTAAACATGCCAGGACAATTGCCTTAAATACTTGGTATATGGTATTGATGAAAAATTTAAGAGATGTGTCTCAGGTGGGAATATTGGGACGTCAGCTCTATCCCGGTAAATCGAAAGGATTTGTGAAAGCCTATGAGGACGCCTTAAGTACAAAACACGGTTATTTTTTGGTAGACATGAGTCCACATGCTGAGGATAAATACCGTCTAAGAACGCATGTTTTTCCCGGCGAGGACCCTTTAGTTTATAAACTAACGTAAGAAGCAGTGTGAAACTTCTAAGAGTAACCATGGTCGTCACTTCTTACATCTCCTTAAAAGTACTACAACGACACAAAGGAAGGCATTGTTGAGTAAAATTACTAAACAGCAATTGAAAGCTCTTACTCAAATTGCCTATAATATTCTGCGCTTTAAAATACGCCTTACACCTTCGGAGAAAGCTCAACTTAAACGTCAAAGACGTGTCATTCATCTAATTGGAAACAGATCAATAGGTTTCAAACAAAAGAGGGAGGCCATTCGACATAAGCCTAGAGTGATCTACACCCTGGTGAAAATTGCTTTCGCGTATTTGGAACCGGTATTGGCATAATGGAAAAGTTTATTTTGGTACCTTACGAAAAATATCAACGTATGCTGCAACTGAAAACCAAAGGGTTCGGAGAAGTAACGGAATATAAGCCTACCAAACTGTCATTACCACCTCCGGGAGAACGGAAAAAGGCGGGAAAAAGGCGGGAAAATCTCAAAAAACTGCAATAGACTGAATATCATTTTAGAAAACAAAGACAATGTTTTTTTTCATATATTTTTATTGCTATATACAAAATAAATGAATACAAAAAATACATTTCAGAGTTTGTTTTTATTTACAGTATTTCTAACATATATATCATTCCATTGTCTATTATACACATCAAAAGGTTTGACAATGTCTTTCATAGTCCTTCCTGTACATCTGGCCGTGATATAATATACACAATACAGTCCGCAGGTATCTCATTTAGTGTCCTGAATAGGATCACACACCGTCCAATACTTGTTCGTTAATACGGTTTCTAAGCCCACATTGTAGTCACTCGGTATTTTTCCGAGAGAATCAAAGAACTCGTACGGCCCTTGTCTCGGAAAATAAAAAGTAACCCAATGTTTCCCTGGCCCATCGCTCGTGTCTGTGTTCGAGATCACGAATTGTCCTATTTGTTTACGGATTTGATCAGCAGCGCACACTTTTACGGGGTACCCTTCGAGTAAACGTTCCAGTTCTAGATTATTCATTTCACGTAAACCGCCCTGGCTTTGTCAATATTGAGTACTTCTGGGAAGGTGGCGTACATAATCAGTGTGACACTCTCTGGTAAAGCCTCCGAAAATTTAAGTTCTAGCCGACAGTGGCCCTTCCTTTTCGTGTTGAATGAATAGTAGGGGTCAATATCTAGGGCATATAAGCAGTACCCTTTCTTATAATCTTGTTTTGAAATGTTCAAATCGCTTCTGTAGAGAGCTAATGTTCTGTAACATTCCACATACTGATCCGCCGCATAATTAGGTTGCATCGGCTGGCTAGGTAAAGACTGTCCATCCACATAGAGTCCTACAAAACTGCAGTTGTAATGTTTAAAGGGAGACACAGGCAAAATTTTCATTTCTTAGTTTTGAAATTTTCATTCATTATTCTGTAAATGTCCTCAAAATGAATACACTAAACAGTCAAAGGAACAAAACGTTTCTCCATATAAAGAATAAAATGGTGTTTTCCTAACTTGACCCGCGTGGGTCAGGTTAGAGCGCTAAAATTTCACAATAGTTGTCACTGTGTACTCTGGAAACGTTAAAAAACATGTCAAATCAATTACTTAGACTTGTTTCAATCATACAATATCCACAATACCTGTTATTGTAACTTCCAGGGTTTGTTTAAATCGCAGGACTTGTTTTTAAACTATTTGGTGATTCTGTTGGCGTCAAATTTTCGTTCAACATATATAGATATATTTAAACTTCAAACCCAAAATATATAGAATTTATACAGAAATTCATGCTGGGACTTTAAGAAATGTCATTTTAGGGTGATTTGAGTACAGAAAATCATTTTTTATATTTTTGTCATTATTTTGCCTGAGTATCCCTTTAAAGTTGAATGGATTCTTCGAGTAATCGCCATTAAACGCGGCACTCGGGACTAGACCTACAATCAGTTTACTAGGCACTAATCCTTGAAAGATATCGTCCGCGCTGTAACTGAATTGACCCGTAGCAATGGCTGTCGTTTTGATCTCTGTGCGTAAGTAAGGGTATATGGCTGGTATGTCTTGAATGAGTTTTTCGTGCGCTATAAGTACGCTACTAGTGAGTCGCTGAATACATAGTTTAAAATAAGCGTCCACTATTTTTACTCGATAATCGGGATTGGTGGTGTCTGTGATGAGTCTAAATGGGTCCCGGGTAGGATGGAGTTTTATACAGACAGAGACTCCGTTAATGAGTAGCTTCGACTGTTGAAACAAATCAACGTGTAATGGTCCTTCCATTTCTACAATTTTGCTACCTTTAGTGAGGCTGTATCTGATATATAGTCCGTTATTACTTCCTTTACCATTATTGGTACCAACGTCTCCCGTATCTTTATGGAAGAGTTGGCTGGTCAGTAGGTTACTTTGCATATTTTCGTTGGACTGTAATATCGTGTCGATGTACGCTTTGTAGGGATAATTGATTCCCGTGTGAGATAAAGGCGTTTGTTGAAGAGATACATCGACTTGACCGAATATGGTGTGTAATGGTAAATTGATTGGTCCAACTATTTCGTCCGGGTCTACTGCACTACCGTCCCCGTGGACAATTTGCAGCTTTAGGTTGAGCACGCTTCTTTTTAGATCCAAGTACGCCGATGTATGGCCCGGTATATTAAATTCGAGAGCTGATGCATTCGTCACTTGATTTACTGGACGGTATGTAATCCATTCTCTCGATTGTAATGACGTGTCTGTAGGGGGTGTAACGAACAAAGACAGTTCTTCCTGATGAAAATCTTCCATGTTTAGAATTGAAATTCTGGATTTAGTCTCTTTCGTTTAGATGGTTTGTAGGCGGGTGTCGGTGCCTTCTTACGCTTTTGGGGCCCCTTCTTACGCTCTTCGCCCTCTTCAACCTTCATACGATTGACCTCTGACTTGGCTATTTCTATCGCTTGTGCGACGGGTGAGACCAGTTTTACTGGAGGTGACTGTTTCATTTCGGCCATTTTTCTGAGATGATTTCCGCTACCTACGATGTAACGGCCTTTATGATCGGCTTTAACGTACCCGTCCCTCAAGTCCTTGAAATGTTGATACCATTTCTCAGGGTCGGGTGTATAGGGAACCCATTTCTGTTGTTTATGATCGTAGACTTCTATGGAGCCCATACTTTTTTGAAATGTAATACACAATGAAGATCGTTGGATTTGAACTCAACTGAGTTTAAATCTTCGTCTCTCAAATACAAATGTAAGGAGTTGAAATGATTCACAGTCACAGGTACGTATACCGGGTGGCTATATTCTACAAATTGAAGTTTCTTGTATCTCGAACCGACTTCAACGTTTCTAAGTACGGGTACTTGCGTGTTTCTTACGTAAGTTTGTTGTATCAGGTTGCAGCATAAATACAGTCTTTTGCTTCTCGGCGTAAAGTCACAGGTGAGAGAAGTTTCTGTGACAGCGCAAATCCAATTTCCATCAAAGGTGTACGATTTGGGAAACTGAATATAAAAGTCTGCGGGGTCGTTGTTCTTACGTATGTCCTGAGAATCTCTACTACTGAGATAAAGGTAAAAGTCTGACATGTTTGTTTGCTTTCACAAATACATATGACCACGGTCTTCTTACGCTTCTCTAGTTGTCCGGATTTCGTCCATAATAGTGTCAAAGAGATACGGCGGTCTTAACAATACGGGTACGAGCGAGTGATGACGTCTTAACAGCGATTTCTTTCTAGTCAGTGACACATTTTCAGAAGCTAGGGATCGTAGCAAATTTCGTCTTCTTTCAAGTAATTGAACATCTCTTCTCGGGGGATTAATGGTTCCATTTACCAATCTTTTGGCCACTTGCGCTATAGCCTTCATTTGACCCCCTGTCATATTAGTGATCATATTCTTTCTGACAGCTACAGTGGCATCTTTTAACTGGAGAAGAAAGTTGAGTTTACGGTACACTTGAGACTGGTTCATGGTTGATTTCTCTTGACGTTCACTCTTTCTTACGTGTGTAGAGTTCCAGTTCGATGAGTACAGGGTAGACTACGTCATCTATTTGTGACAGGTTTTTGATACCAGTGATTACCACTTTGCCGCTGTGAAAACAACAAAAATGGGCTCCTTCTCTTTTAAAATTAAGGGATGGAAACAGTTCGGGTTCATATACGACCTGTCTTTCTTTCGCCAACAACTGCAAATCTAACGCGTTACTTAGGGTGTGACTAGCCGATATTGTTATCAATTTGATCTCTTTCAGCCGCACAGTAAATCCGAGACGCTGTATACGTCTTGCATATTGGCGTAGTCTCTGGCGCCCCTCTGTAACACTGAGTGCTTTTCCGTTGCAATTGATTACACCATTGGAGAAAACTAAACAATTCCCGCCAATGGTTTTGTGCTGCCAAATCAATCCGGGAAATGTTTTTGGATCATAACGAGCGTTTGCTATACGATAGCATAACTGCTTCAAGTCAATGGAACAGCTCAAGTTAGCGCTGCACACGACGTTGGTAATTATCATGATGTGAAGTCTCGAATCTCAATATCAATACTGACGATTTCTAGGGGGGTATATCTGTTTTATATACAAAAATGATCACGTGACTTAAGAGTACTGTGTCAGGTCCTTTTCTGGGATCCAGCTATCAAATTTCTTAGGCCAATGCAACCAACGTACTAGTACTTCCTTTCGTTTGTTTCGCGTCCTTTTCTTTAATATTTTTTCAACGTGGTATTCTGTATTTTCGTCCACACTAACTGCCTGTAATTCTTGTTCGTAAAACGTGCCATCAATTTTCTCTTCATTGGCCCAGTCTATTAAGGTATATACGCATACATTGTCTCGTTTGAAACGGCTTTTGATTTTGAATATTTCGCCAGTCCACTTCTGAGAGTACTCTCTGTCAAACACGCTTTTCACGTGCGATACTCGTACTGTCTGACCTACTTTGAACTTGTAATGTCTGATCCTGTTGTTGGTTGGCCTGCCTTTGGTCCTAAGTAAGTACTGCTGAAGTCTG